CTGAAGTAATTCAGTTTGCTTTGAAGCAGCTGTCAGTATACTAACTTAAAATGGCTTCTCATTCAGTTTATAGATAAAAATTTCTCTTGAAGTTAACTTACCTCTCCTCTTCCTCTTTCCAAGCACCAGAATGCAGAAAACATCAGGCTGCAGGTTCCTACAACGCATGTAAGGTAATGCATAAACTTGTGCCATGCTACTCTTCAAGAGCTTACTGCAAATGTTTCTAGACAACGTTTAGTTTTACTTCACTACTTACCAGTTTTTTCTAAAGTAGTAACCACTAAATTCATTCTAAAACGCTACCATTTGTGGATGGCTGATGATGCCTATCATAGCCCAGTCAATTCAAAGCAGAACACTAAAGGTTTGAAGACTCCATGTACCTGGGGCAAATACCCTTCATATTCTAGAAGATCTGTCTCTAATCAAAGCAAGGTCCGACAGTGTAAATGATGAAACACAGCACGATGCAACACAGCCTACTTTGCTCTTGTCAATTCTTTTGGAGATTAGGCCAAAGAGGAAGGTTTTGTGTATTGCACTGCTGTGTTGAATTGAACAACTTGAGCAAGATAAGTGGCTGATCAAACTCCTGCTGTACAGCTGAAACACAAATCAGAACTGTAGTGCTGGATTCCTAAACATGTTGGGGGACTCTAGCTGCAGTCCGTGCTTTAATGTCACTTCTGCTGTGGTAACTTTTACACAAGTAACTGTTTCTGTCCACTTTTTAGGAGCAGACCGTCCTCAAGAGGAGATGAACGTGGACAAGACTCAATCCAGGAAAAGTTTTTTCAGCCACGTTTTACACAAGTGCCTGAAGACATAATTATTGAGGAGGGACGATTCTGCAGGCTCGACTTTAAAGTAATACCAGCCTTTCACTTTCCGTTAGCTCTGAGGGGTGTATGGCACCGAGAGAGGTCTCTGAGCCACAGTACCTTTGCACTTTAGTAAGCCAGAGCACTAATGCCAGATGGTGCAGGGTCTCTCCAGGCAATGTAAACCAAGAAACAGGAGATGGCTCAATGTCTCAGCATTTTCCCTTGGAAAACGTAAATGGAATTAGCTGCATAAGAGTATGGTTAAAGCTGAAAAGTGGTAAATACGGACCACCACAGAACACCATCTAGACCTCATTGGGATGAATGAATATTAAGACCCTGCTGAAAGAAGGCATTTTTGGGAGATGACCTTGTGCTTTGCACTGGGACTCCACTGACTTCCGTGGGTGCATGCTGGATATATGTTCAGCAAGGCCTGTTTAGGACTAGCCTGCCTTTAATGAGTCCTCTCTGAGGTAACGGTGCCCTTGCTGGAGCAGGTAGTCTGGCAAGGAAATGCCCTAATTACGAACAAACAGAACATCAGAATGGCCTGAAACTGCCTGGCAACCCTAGCGTAAGGAAGAACTGTGGTCTGACGCACATGCAACTTTACTGCAAAGGCTGTTTGCTGGTTGTGGTTTGGCTTGGTGTTTTTCTAATTGCTTCCAATTCATTTTTCTTAAGTAAACTCTTGCCAGACTTTGGTGTGCCCTTTAGCTATTTTGCTGCAAAATGCTTAACTTCTGCTTGTTGTGAACAACATGGAGCTTGTCTGCAGGACAGTTTATTTACATACACTGTGAAAACCATATGGATGTTGGCACTGCTGACAGTGCTAGCTAGCTGTGGGATTAAAATGGTGAGTTCCCCCTCTCCATGAACCCACAACAAGGATCTTTGGCCTAATCCACACTGCCTCACAGGGTGGGAACAACAGGGGGTGGCAAGAACAGCATCCACTGTCTTGTAGCTAAAGCTCATCTCTCCATGGCACTTCACGAGCCTTCCTCGCTGTGCAGCACCACATTAATATTCAAAACAAGGCAAGACTGTAAAATTTTATAGTAGGATCATGATTTGATCATCTATTGGCATCAAACTTCCTACAGCATTGCAGGGCTTTTATTATCTTAGAGCTGTTTTAACTCTTCACTGCTTTCTTCTCCTCACAGGTTAGTGGGCTGCCGACTCCAGATGTGATGTGGTATCAGAATGGAAGGATGGTTCATCAAGATCAGTTCCATAAAATGATAGTGTCAGAAAAGGGATTCCACTCATTTATTTTTGAAGCAGTCAAATCATCTGATGCAGGGACATATGAATGTGTGGCTGTCAACCGTGCAGGAGAAGCGTCTTTTGCAGTAAAAGTGGAAGTAATTGGTAAGACTGAGAGCACTGACACTTACCAGGCCACACACGGAAAATCTCCGTAATCTAATGCCTTCCTCTGTGTGTTCGGGCCATAAAACAATCAAGAAGCAGAGACAGATCTCCAGATATTCAGGCTCAAACTACAACAAACACCTTACCTTTTCCAAGGCTATTTTAGTACACACATCTGGAATGCCATATATCTTCAAAGCACTTCTAGCAGGATGCGTAGATGTAGTGGGATGTCCAGAGTCTGGGAGTTACTAATCTCCCAGAATTGATAATATATGTTGGTTGACTCTCCTCCTAAAGTGGATTGTGTCTACTATACCCTCTTGCTCATGGGAATTGCTTGTAGGTTAAGGAGTTGCAGTGAGGAACGTGTGCCCTCCTGAGTTTAGCATTCTGAAATCTTAAAAACCAAGCCTGATATTAATGTGCAATACTTACAGTAACTCCTTTTTATCTTTCCTCTTTAATTTAGCAAAAGAACATCACACACCTCCCATTTTCATCTTCAAGCCACAAAGCAAAAAGGTTTTTGAAGGAGATACAGCCAGACTCGAATGCCAGATCTCTGCTGTCCCAACACCCCGGATTTACTGGAAAAGAAACAACGAAATGGTACAATATAATACAGACCGAATAAGGTACCCTATTAATGAGTTGGCCATTGGTGTGTTAGAAAACAGTAACCAGTATTTGTTAAGTCAGATTTGAACTGGCTGGTTTCTAAAACCAACAAGCTGGATGGCCAGATCTACCACTCTTTTATGACACATGGTGAACAGGCCCATGTGCTGGAGAGGCACGATGCGCAGCGTCTTGTTCTGAGGGCACAGAAAGAAAACTCTGTGCCCAAAGGCCGCTCTGAATTCCAGCAGCAGTTCCAAGCCCGTAGAGAAGCTTTGTTTTAGGATTGAAACATGCAATGTATTCATCAGGCCGTGGGGCTACAGGAGGGCCTTGATGCCACCCGAATGCTATCGTGACGTGAATTACTGGTGGCTCGTAACACAAACGCAGTGCTTACGTCCAAACAGTTTGCAGTGCCCTGCAAGAATTGTTGTAGGGCTTTCTCAGCTCCCCAGCATGCAAACCGACCAATTTCAATGTCTTCACTCCTTCCCCCTCCAAGCACTTACACATAAACACCTTTGTTTTTCAGCTTGTTACATGACAATACCGGAAGGATTTGCCTCCTGATCCATAACGCAAACAAGAAGGATGCGGGCTGGTATACAGTATCTGCGGTCAACGGAGCAGGCGTGGCCACGTGCCACGCCAGGCTGGAGGTTGCGAGTAAGTACCACCTCACGGTGCCACAACCACCTCTGGAACTGGCACAGAGCCTCAGGGTTAACCCAACAAAGCTTAGGCTGCTGGGAGGATTTCTGTCCAAAGATACCGAACTAGACAAAAAGTAACTATCCTGGGAAAAACTCTTGTTTAGCACCAAGACACCGCAAAGTGTCCTTTGCACGTTGTCTGCATCTGCTGTCCGTGCTGTCTGAAGACTACGGTTTGATACCAGGCAGGAGGGTGACTATAAATCTCTGGTGTCTGAGATGCGGGCTTGGCTGTTCAATTCTTCCTAAGCATTTGCTGGCTTATGTTGCAGATAAAAAGCAATTCGGTTGCTCTGTCATGGGTCTTTCCACAGCCTGAGAAGACACAGAAAGAGGCTTTTTTTTTTTTTTTTTTTTTCCCCCCTCTCTTCCAGCACACACAAACAAGCCAGTTCCAGCCCCGAAGCAGTTACGGGTTCGACCAACTTTCAGCAAGTATTTGGCACTTAATGGCAGAGGACTGGACGTGAAACAAGCTTTCTCGCCAGAAGGAGAGTTTCAGCGTTTGGCTGAGCAGTCTGGACTCTATGAAAGTGATGAACTTTAACTGGAAATGAAGAGGAAGACTCACACCCATAAGAGACAATTACAACATAGATGCAGTTAACTGGTGATTGCTCTGATTAGCAAAATACCTATCTACGTATTTTTACTCTGACTCTTGCACATTCAGCTGTTCCCATTTTACCAGGTTAGATTTTATTTATATGGATTGGTGAATATAACCATTTGCTAAGTATTGTATTTTAACTATAAAGCCTAAGAAAGCAGGCCAAGTAGTTTTTACAAGTGTGGGCGGTTTTAGTTCCACCTGTGCTTGGCTACATGCTAAAGTAGATTGGTTTGTACTGCTGCTCTGATCTCACTCTTGATAATATCAGAAGTCTGTACTGTCTGAATACTAAACCCAAATAGACTAGAGTGTTTTTATGAGAATAAATTAGAGGCAAATAAAATTTTAAACATCCAGTGTGGGCTGTGTCTCTTCCTTGATCTGTTAAAACCACCTTAGGGATGTCTGGCAGCAGCTGCAGCCTGGCAAAGGGGGATTCTCCCCCTGCTCAGTCTGCTGCCGGTCCTCTCTCCTGCCTGCTCCCCTCATCACTCCTCTTCTGATAAACTACGGACTAGATGCTGACGTCCCTTAACACCAAAACATGTCAGTGAGGCATGATCCTTGCACTGTGCTATATGAATGTATATGAATACATGTTAAGGCTACCGTGTTTGCCCTCCTTACCCCTTTCATCCAGGAGTGCCTGGGCCTTGCCTGGCTGCTGGCTCTCACCGAGCTCTTGATTTGAACCAGCCAAAGGGTTTGTGTGCTGCTATTCACAGCCACCTGGCTCAAAGCAATACTAAATACCACGAAACGTGATTTTGCCAAACTCCAACAAACCTGATTGCTGAATATTTTTCAACTGTACTTGCCAAAGGAAAATTTGTGAGGATGCAACCAGCCCGACCTCCTCCTGCGGGCTGCACAGTAACACTGCTGCCGGCCCCCAAACCCCACCACCACCTTCCAGAACGGGAAAAACGAGGTCTGGGCTTCACACCGTGCTGTCGGGCCAGCAAATAAACCCCCTACCCCCGAGCTGAACTGCGCAGCGCTGACTATGAACCGGCGTTAGAATGGCGTTAATGGACATTTAAACGCGCGCTCCCTGCGCAGCGCGAAGGGAAGCTCCTCACCGCCTGGGTGCAGCCTGGCAGCGACCA